TGCATGCGTGTGTGCACGCATTCATTTGTATTATGTGTGCATGTGCTATGTCAATGTGTATGTGTTGTGATCTGTCTCTTTCTGTGCATATGTGTTTGTCTCTGTCTATTTGTCTGTTTCTTTCTCTGGATATGACTGTATTTTTGTGTGTTTTGTGTCCATCTCTGTGTGTGTGTGTGTGTGTTTGTTATGTCTGTCTGTGTTTATCTGTATGTGCATCAGTCTGTCTGATTCTCACACTCTCTTTGAGAATGCCTGTCTCTGTATCTCTCTGTCTCTTTGTGTGTATGTCTGTGCCCCCCTCTCTGTATACATAGTTGTGCACCCATGAAGAGCTTCCCAGAATTCTTCTGTCTCTATATCTCATCTCACTGTAAGAGTTGAGATTATAGACATGGGCTAATGTGTCCAGCTTTGTAGTGGTTGTGTGGATTTGAACTCTCACCCTCATGTTTATGTGGAAGGTATTTTACCCGCTGGGGTGTCCCCCAGTGCTGCCCTAAACCCTACTTTTCCTAATTGAGTGAATAAGTCTAGGACTCAGTCAGGTAAACGCACTTGTGAAATAACAAAGCTGAAGTTAGTATTTTATGCTTTAATTAACTTTTAAGTTTTAATATGAGGGATGCTATAAAATAAAAAGAAATTGGTAATTCTTCCACTACTAAAATGAATTATGAAATACATTTTTAAAGATACATTCTCAAGGATTCACCTTCATCATCCACTATGGTTAATTATGATAATATATAATTGTAAGTATTTTTAATTTTAGTTGACACTATTTCCAATTAAATTATTGGGTGTATTTTCAAGTTTAATACATAGCAGAATATATAGGAGCAAAACTATGTGGAAGTTTGGTTTTAAATCAAACAGAATGAATTCACACCGAGTTTTGAAAGTAGGCACTGAACCCACTCTCTGGAATAAATCAAAGAGTAGGCAGAAAACAGACAGTACGGACATCTATTTTAGCAAGCAAAGCGGAATAAATTTACCAAGCCAATCACGGTATGAAAAATGCAGCTGAAGATGCAGAGAGAAAACATGCAATGTTGATCATGAACACATTTCAATGCACAAGACCAGAAAGCGCTTTTGTCCTCGGTGTGAATAAACAGTCAGACCGCGCTGCAGCTGCAGCATCTAAATGCGAGGAAGGCCCGTTTACAAAGGGATTTATTAAATTGGTGTGATTTCCCAGTTTCACACATCCAGTGTCTCTTTCATAAAGTAGAATGTACAATTTATCTTGATAAAAATGACATTTCTCTCATTGTATTCAATCAGATAGCAAAATGTCCTTTGTGAGAGCTGTGCTTATAAAAGAGCACAGTGCTGGGGATGCCCAGCAGCTCAGGCTCTGAATAGACACAGCCCGCCCTCTGTTACGATGCCCTCTGTGTCGAGTGTTTTTAGTAAAGAAGGTTCCACGCAAAGGAAATCCGTCTCTCTCTGTATAATATGCCACAGAGATTTCTTTGTGAGAAGTCACTTGTTGCTCAATCCATCCATCTATCCATCCATCCATCCATCCATCCATCCATCCATCCATCCATCTCTCCATCCATCCATCCATCCATCCATCCATCCACCCACCCATCCATCCACCCACCAAGCCACCCATCCATCGACCTATCCATCCATCCATCCATCCATCCATCCATCCATCCATCCATCCACCCACCAAGCCACCCATCCATCGACCTATCCATCCACCCATCCATCCATCCATCCACCCACCAAGCCACCCATCCATCGACCTATCCATCCATCCATCCATCCATCCATCCATCCATCCATCCAATATTTTTAAACCTCTACAGTCTCTAATGAAGTAATGGATAGAAAATATACCTGAAAACTTAGTATTCAAAATTTCATATTAAAATCTTATTTCAGGGTTGGAGCAAGGAACTGTCCCTGACAGCTACACATAGTTGTTGAAAACAGGAAAGAGGGCGAACTAACTTAGACATGGTTCTTAGCGAAGGTTTCAAGCCCAAATCTCCACAAAATGAGGGCAGAGTACAAAGAAAGATTAAGAGAGAAAGTGACAATACAATTCTTTAAGAAGTGACTGACCACTTGACCAAACCCACAAGACTGAGTATCGCCAATGTCATAAATGAGCTGCAGTACAAGCCCACAAGGACGTATGTTATGTGCACTCCTGCTGGGGTTGGACTGACTTGTGTGAATGGGATCATATTCTGCTTTTCTGGTGATTGTAAAACTTTAAGTTAGGGGCCCTGAATTGTGGTGACCCCAGATGACGTCCAGGTCATCAGGAGACCCTGAGACTTAAACAGAGCCACTCTAAGGCTTGGGAAATCAGGTACTTATGAAGCGCTGTAGAGTGTGGAAGAATCGTTAGGGCGGGGACTTTGGGTGTGAAAGCCCAGGATCAAATAAAGACAAATCAGTTTTTAAGAAAAGTGATCTTGTGTACTTTCCACTTTTGAGTCATTTTCTCACTCTGAAGCACTAGCTCCTGACCTGGAACACTCTATGTAGAGCAGCTTGGCTTTGAACATGGAGACCAGGTTGGCATTAAAGGCATGCACCACCACGCCCAGCTATTAAATGTCATGCCATGACTCAGACCCTGTCTGAAGCTAAGACAACTCTCCACGGTGTGAGCTGGCAAGGAAGTCCATCCTCTCTTTAACCAAAACTGTAGCCTGATTACTATAGTGCCATCCTGGATCATCCCATTTCTAGAGTGTTCTCCAAGGGAGGTCTCAGGACAAACAGATTCACCTCCTCTTGGAGCTTGTTAAAAAACGCACACCCATGAGCTCAGCCTGCACTGTTGTATGCCTAGCAACCACAGACCCACATGAGAAACTGGAAGCTTGATAAACCACAGGTACTTACTACTTTCTAGATTAGACCATGACTGAGAGACATGCTGAGAGTAAAAGCTGGCAAACTGAGGGGCAGGTTTTACATTTCTGGCTTAGCAGTTTGGATGACAATGAAGTGCTTAAGCTGAGAATAAGATCTGAGCTAAAACCTGATATAATCAAAACTTTCACTTCGAAGAATCAGGAGTCAAGGGAAACTACAGAGCAGAAACCCAGGGAGAGGTGACTGTAAGCTCAGTAAGGGGGCAGAATTTGCCAAGTCGCAGAGTCTCCAGGGCCATTCCCTCTGTCTGCATCTTATATGTAGGATAAGATTCATTCTGAGTGACGGTCCTCACCATCAGTGAAGTCTTCTCAACTCTGGTTCCGTCTCCTCTTTGGGTACTGCCGCCGTGGCATCTGCCACACCTTCCCTGGCATCACTGGGATCACGGCAATAGTTGGCGATGTTTGCTACTGTGTGCGTGTTATATATTTAATGACTGCTCCTTTCTAATCACAACTTCTAGTGTGTTTTCAAAGATTTATTATTTTATAGTAAAGCCGTTGTTTTTATCCAACTTTATTTTATTGTTTAATATTCTAATGATAAAGAAAGGAGTTCGGAGGATGTCATGTGGCCCATTTACTGAATATGGTGGGTTGAGAGATGTGTGAGTGTGTGTGCATGTGCGTGCGTGTGTGTGTGTGAGAGAGAGAGAAGATACTTGTCTTCCCACTCTCCTCAAACTGAACAACATCAAGTAAGTAACTGTGAAAACACTATTAGATTTTATTATTACATAATACTTTATAACTCTTCCTAAAATGCTCACCACTTTGAAACCTATAGTTTTCTTTAAAAAAAAATATGATATGGTATGCCAAGACGCATGTCTCATTTTGAACACAGGTCTAATGGTAAAAGCGCATTTTGAAACAGTTCATCTTGGTTCCATGACACTCCAATAAGACTTTAAAGCATGAAGCACTTCCTTCTCAGATGTTTCAAAATCAAGCAAAAGGGGTGTAACAAGTCACTGATTGGCTGAATACTGACCTCTGGACCACTTGCTATTGCAGGCCCAGCTTTGGGGCTGGGCATTTCTGCTTCCCACTGGATTTTTCTTTGCCTTTACGATGTCAGTCTCCATCTAACTGGTGTCCTGCCTCGTGCCTCAGGTGGCACTAACACAGCCTTGAACTACGGAAGAGTTCATGCCTTGGGTGACAGACCCAGAGAGTGAGCGATCCTCCTAGTACATGCTGAAAGGCGAAAATCCTGGACAGCGTCCAAACCTCCACGGGAGACCTCTGAAGAGTCAAGTTCCCATGATTCCCAGGGAAGATTTGCGAGCCCACCCATGTTCTTACCCACGCTGATTCTCTCTCTGTGCTTCTTTTTATTTCATTGTTTTACTTTTTTGAGACAGAATCTTACTATGTTGTCCCGTCTAGACACAATCTTATCCTTCTATATCATGTACTGGTAAGAAGGCCCAGTCTTGATTAGTGGGATCATTTTCCCAGTAAACAGGCATTTTCAAGTCCTGGTCTTTGTTGCACAAGTAACACAAACAGGAGGGTAGCTCCCGAACATAGTTAGCAATACCAACCCCTTCTGACCTGCTCTTACTCACATAATGCATTTAACTTAGACATCCTCCAGCCATTCTTTCACTCCTAACAGAGCGTTTGATGGAAGGAAGAGGATGGCGATTGAGGCACGGGTTCCAGCATTTCTACTGCTTTCTTAACAGATTTAGATCACGGTGGACGTGCCTGTGCTAATAAATGTGAACTTGTACAGCATGAAAAGAAAATAGAGAGTGGATGCTACGTCAACTATTGCTTTTGTTCGACACAACCTTACATCCAGTATTTCAGAGAGTCCTGAAAAAAGCATTTGCCTGACCTGACGTTCCAGACTGACAAGAACGATTACCACATGTGAACTCCATCTTGGTCAAAATCTGCACAGGTGACTACGGAGTTAATAAACAGACTTTAAATTCAGCAGCCTATTAATAGCCCTGGAGCTAAAGAGTAGAAATAGATCACACTATGAAAAGGAGAAAAGTCCTTCACATAGAGCATATCAGGAGGACACTGTAGAAGCGGGTTCTATGGGATGGGGGGGGGGTTTACCTTTGACGATCACGCTTTCATTTCTCTTGCTTCCAACCCAGAAGGAGGTGTACAAGCTTCAAGTTGCCGCCGCCGCTGATATTGGTATGCGGGCGTCACTCCTGGTATGTGATGCTCAACTGCTCTGAGAGATAACAAATGCAATAATTAGACATGATGACTCACTGGGAACAGAAACACAGTGAGGACTGAGCTCATGAAAATGACACCAGCAGCCATTAAATCCAGTGGCATGAGACCAAGAGTTGCACAGGAAATCTCTGTGCCGGGTCTTGTGATGATATTTTTATGCAGCTCAGAAAATCAAATCAACCAGGAAAAAAGTATGCCACTATTATAAATAGGCTTGGTATTGTACAAAATGCTTGTCTATCACTATCACTTACATTCTCTTTAAAAAAGAAATAACGCAAGATTGAAAGAGATGACTCGGTGGCTAAGGGCACATTCTGCTGGTATAGAGGACTCAAGTTCTGTTCATAGTACCCCCACCCCACATCTGAAGGCTCATAGCTGTCTGGAAAGCTAGCTCCAGGGATGTGATACCTCTGACCTCTGCAGGCACATGCAGCACTTGTGCACACACACACACACACACACACACACACACACACATGCACACATTCCAGCACACCCAACTGAAAATAATAAACATAAATCTTTAAAAAGTAATAAGGTACAAATATCAAACATATGATTCTGTAAGGTATAATACATGCATACAATTGTAGTCATTTCCTGGCAACTTCATGTTTTATTAATACTGCAACTAACCAACCATGGTTAAAAAGGAGTAAAAATCGACATTGCTTCCATTGGGGTCTCTTTGACCTCACAGCGGGGTCCAACATGACATACTATTCCTCAGTGAGCAACCATGGGCTCGGTGATGCCTAAGCCGAGCCATTCACGGGATTATCAACGATGCTTTCTTAGAAAGCGACAAAGTAGAAACTATATCTGGCCACACTGCGGGAGGGAGGCTGCCTCAGACCACAACACATGCTGTGTGGGGCCATGAGTCTCCTTTCTAGCAGGTCACAACAGGAACGGTTCACCACGCAAATGACCCGATGTTTCAAAGTGCTAGGGAACACCGACATCTGTTTCTGCTGTTTGGTGGTGTTGTTTCAAGCAAGATAATTCTGTGTGCCCTGGTAGAATATAAAAATATTTTTAGAAGAGAAAGGGAAAAGTAAATTGAAGCAATACATAGAAATTCAGTCAGATTAACAACTGAGATTAAAAATGCAACTATTGTTTCAATCTAATTATGGTAAGTGTTTTAACACGGAGCTTGTGTTTCAGAAGATGGCATCAAGATCTTGGAGGTGATTGATTTTGGTCACTTCCTCAAAGAGTTTTCAAAGGCAAAACCATGATCCAGGAATTCTTCCTGGAGGTCCAGCTCCCCAGAAACATGGTGCTTTCATTCCCCCAGTGAACACTGGGTAGTCAGAAGGGTTGTGTCCGACACCATCGTATTATTATTCTGAGTCTGGTCAGGCTGACAGGATTACAAGACTGGTAGGAATTTGAGATCAACAGTAACAGAACCTAAGTATTTAGACAGGACTTAACAAAGCACCCTGGAATAAAATAAATCGTGAATATCACATTTCTTCATCCTAGAGAAGACAAAATGAGATTCCATTATCAGTTACAGCTTAAAGACTTGAAGCCTTGATTTATGAACTATTATCCTGTTTAATACTCCCAGTGTTGCAGTAAATCAAACTCTGAGGAGAGGGTCTTCTCATACAGGTGAGGACTAAATTCCTTAAAAGATAATGAGTAAATGCTGATTTTTTTAAAACAAAGAACTTGACCACTTATCTATTCATGAATATTTATTGAGACTTTATTTTGCACCATAATAGAGTCTAAATCTTCAACTAAGTAATGCTGCTCATTTAAAAAGTAGAGAGGCGATGCAGTGTCTAAAAAGATATACTAGAATATGAACAAAAAATAAGTTTTATTACAAACAGGTCACTGGAAAAGTTATATAATTATTAGGTAAACATCTATTTTTTAAACAGTAAAAGGGACCTTAAATGCTGACTCATGTAGGGTGTAGTGGGTCCAAAATATAGTTGGTTATCATCGTTACCTAGAAACCTTCATTATGCAAATTATAGAACTGTGGAATTTTACCTTTAGTCAAATATTTTGAGACAGTACATTATGTTACAAATCTGGTCTTAAACTCCTGGGTTGAAGCGTTTCCTGTGTCAGTCCCTCTGGGTAGCTGGGACTGCAGGCACAAGCCACCATGCCTAGCTGTGCACGACCATCCCAGCTACGACATCTCTGGACTCTGAAGGTGCTCCCAGTTGATTCTGCGGCCAGGCACGCTGCCCCCAGGCATGCCGCTGGCTGTTCACCATCTTCACAACACAGATGAGGAAAGAGTCCAGAGGACTGACTTGCTCCAGGCTTTTGCTTCTTGGTGTGAGCACGCATTCTAGAATGCAGAACTGTTTCTCTGGTACTCTTACCTTTTCTCTACCCCAAGAGATCCTATTTCCCTCCCCCCAAATATTTTTGTTTTTGTCAACTAGCAATATTTATCTTCTCGAAAAAGAAGAGCAACTACAGTCATTGGAGTACAAGAAGATCGATGCGGATTTTCTCATTGATATCTATATGACTTTACACATATGGAGGCACTGGGATTTTAATATAACTTGTTTGATTCAATGGTTCCTCTTGCATTATTATTACAGTCCTATTTATAGATATAGCTAGTTTGGGGGATGTTTCCCAAGCCCACGTCTCTGGGGTCTGTCCAATACTTGTAATTATTCTATCATCAAGGACATCTGTCAATTGTTTGGACATTATGTACTCGCTTCTAACCACTGTCAACTGGACCAGAAAGAGTGGCTCACCCAAAAAGGACAAGGACACTCTGGCCACAGCAGGCATGGTGTCACAAGCTAACAATACAAGCACCGAGAAGATTGAAGCAGGATGAAGATTTGAAGCTAGCCTGGGCTTCATCTGGGAAACTCACTCAAAAGTCCAAACAATATATATATATATATATATATATATATATATATATATATATATATATTACAAAAAAGCAAAGCAACCAAAACCCATCACCAAGCAAGTATGTAAGCAACGGACAATTGCAGCCTTGGTCAGGGTTAAAAAATGATGGGCAGATCATCTTGTCTCCTACAGGCAAGAGATACCAGTGAACTATGGAGAAAGAGTGAAGAAGACAGGCCATGGGAGTTTATAGAAGAAATCCTGTAGTGATATTTCATTTGTATTTTAATAAATAAGGCCTGCCTGAAGATCAGAGAATAAAACAGCCCCACTTGTCAGTCTTACTGACCAGACAGTGGTGACACACACCTTTAATCCCTTTAATTCCTTTAAACACTAGTTTGCCATAGAAACCAAACAGTAGTGGTTTAATGCCTTTAATCTCAGCCCTAGAGAGGAATATAAAACGGGAGACAGCTCTCAGACATCGTCTCATTCTGACATTTCTGGAGGCAGGATTGCCATTTCGGACTGAGGTACAGGGAAGAGTCAGTGACTGGCTAATTTTGCTTTTCTGACCTTCAGGTTTAACCCCAATATCTGTCTCTGGGTTTCTATTAAATGTGCTACAAAATGCCCGCAATCATTTCTCTCCCACTTCTTCTTCACTTCTTTTCCCGTGGTTTCCCTGAGCTGAAATAATCTTTGGACTATTTCTGCAACAAAATCTATTAAATTGTTTTAAAATTAATTTTCTGGATTACTCAGTAGAACTTGTTCTTCAACTCTGGTGTCAGAGTTTAAACTAATATACCCCACACCATTCTCTTCCCAGGAGCTACTCTATAAGGGAGGCCCTTCCAGAACTTAAAAGAGGTTATTTAAAAATATTGCCTGAGGGTATGGGAAGGGAAATGCAAACGGTACATGCATTAGATTTTATGAAGTGCCTATATTTTAGCAAAATGCATTTCTGATCAGAAAGAAGAAGCTCAGCTGAGAAACGCCTTTAGTCTTACCCTGTCTCCCACAAGATCTCTCCCTTATCAGAGTGACGAGGTTTCTTGGGATTCCAATGTTCTTTGTAAGTGAACCTTGGGCTAGTTCTAACACTCCTTCCTTCACTCACGCATGTGTTCTATCACCTACACCATCCCACAAAGGCTATGATCACATCCCCAGCACTACCAGGACGTGGAAACACACCAGGGGACCTTTCGTTTTAGTGGAGGCAAGTAAGCAGGAAAGCACTAACCAATAGTTGGGATGTCAGTGCCTCGTTGGCTTGTCAAGGAGGTGGTGGAGTACGTGACCCTGGAATGCGGGAGACAAGAATGGGCTTCCAGGATATGTATTCTGTGGGTTTAAAAAGGCTCATACTGGGCTGGAGAGATGGCTCAGTGGTTAAGAGCACTGCCTGCTCTTCCAGAGGTCCTGAGTTCAATTCCCAGCAACCACATGGTGGCTCAACCATCTGTAATGAGGTCTGGTGCCCTCTTCTGTCCTGCAGGCATACACACAGACAGAACACTGTATACATAATAAATAAATAAATTTTAAAAATAATAAACAAAAGACTCATACTTCATTTAACATAAACAAGCGCGTTGTGGGCAAACTTCAACAGGAACAGGAAATGTGTATACAGAGCACGCATCTGTAGCTGTTCCTCACTGCCTTGCTTCACGTTCATTCAGCGGAGGTGAGCGAGATTCAGTGGGGAAGCCGAGCAAGCATGTTGTGTCTATGACTAAGCTCAGAAGCTGCTAGTCCAAGGAGCCTGCTCTGGCTGGAGACCAGAATTCCCTCCAACTTAGGAAGAAGGCAAGAGTGTTCTGAGATACAGACCCGCCACACTTCCTTCCTTTCTTCGTCCAGCCACAGAATGAAGACGAGAAAAGGAAGCAAAGGGGGCAAAAGCGTGCGTTGCTCTTTTTTTAATTCCAATCTCTCCACTCTGCAGTAAGCCAGGGGGAAGTGGCCGCTAAAATGCGCACACATTTGGGAGTGACCCAGGGACAGGTCTATGTCGCATTTTTACTGTTCTGGTAAGAACAAAACACATACACATGGTCCATGAGAGCACAATATAGACGTATTTATGATTCCGTAAGTGAAGAT